TGTATGAAACTTTAATAAATCAATATTATAAATATATACCAGTGCTTCGATCTGATGTAAAAGTATAGGTTTATTTGCAAACTCGACAAGTGGCTTAGGTCGACTTAAAGTAAGAGGTCGCAATCTGGTTCCATAACCACCCACAAGTATTAAAGCTCTCATGGTCTGCAACTTCTTTCTTTTTTCATGCATTCCTATAAATTCTGCAAAAATAATAAAGATATTCTATTTTTTTTTAATTATAAATCATATCAAGGTGCACCACCTGTTTTTTTTTATTTACTTTGCAATACAAAAAATTGTAAATCACTATACAGTTTAAATACTAATTTTTAATTATTAAATCATATTTTATGATAGAAGAAATTAATGACCCACTCTAATTTGCAAAATATAGAATTATATTTTATATTTCTTGCACATTCTACTTGACATTATAAGTAAATAAATTTGTTTACTTACTCTATCCCAACATACATTACATGCCTTGTGTAGTAATAAATATTAGGTAGACCGGAAAGTAATGTCGTTTCTGCGCATGTCGATATTCGTTTGTCATTTATCAGCTCATTGTGTACTTCAAAGTCGTGCCAAAATAATTTAAAAAAAACGACATTACTTTCCGGTCCACTTAATATTAGTATATTATATTGTTTGTTACTCTTTGCTGAAACGCAATGTTACTTACGTTAACCACCGTCTTAGAATGACATTAACGAAGATAATTCGATATCAGTGACAATTATTGCCACGTAGATGGACTTGATAGAGATAAGTGCTACGTATTCACTGATATGCTCATGTTTATATTTACGATGAGAACATCTCTTCTTCGCGAGATTATATCACATTAATACGAGTGAATAAACCTATCATAAACATAACACCTGTCGACTTTTTATTGAGCAATGATAACAATGATGTTCATTCACTTTTTGTTTTATGAATTGCTGTCAAACTCTGTCTCTGTTGCGACACTGAAAAGATACTTAAAAGATTGTTAACTGGACAAATTTTTGTGACCACTCCGAGAGCTCGGAGGTAATTGAAGAATGCTGACATTATCAACTGTTTTGACTATTCCAAGAATAAATGTGAGGATTTTATCTTCCTTAATCATTGTTTTATTGTCAGGAAATTATAAAATATGTATCATTTTTTATGATAAAGTAGTGATTAGGAAATTAGATAAAATTCTTATTAATTTTTTTTCGAACAGCTAGAACGGTTGATAATGTCAGCGTTCTTCAATTACCTTCGAGTCTTCGGAGTAGTCACGCTCCAGTAAGAATGGCTGCATTCAGTATAATCTAATGCCTAGTTCACACTGGATGCGATGGGTGATGAATGACGAGTGATATCCAATAAAAGCTGTGCTTTTTCTCACATGATGACACAAAGCAAAGCTCTTATTGGATATCACTCGTCGCTCATCGCTTATCGCGTCCAGTGTGCAGTAGGCATTACATGTATAACAATCTTGCATATAAGTGTTTCATGTTATTGGGCGGGTATTAGATGACAAACAAAACAATGTCTCTCCGGTCTGGCTTTAGTCGCCGCCATTATCAGTGGCGAGGCCAACTTAACTCGAGGAATAGAATAAAACAAAACAATGACAAGATGTTCATACAGTATCACAATACTGTATACTTATAACAATAACTCAGAGACTTTTCTTTGGAAGAATTTTTTCACATGACATTAGACATTTATAATATATTTTATTTACAATATTCTAAATTGTCTGCTTGAAAGTACATTGTGCTAAATAATCCTGGTGATTGAAAGTACCATACAAATATACTGAAAAAGTTTATCAAAATGATGCTTGATTCCTGCAGGTAAATTCGAAAGTTTTGTTAAACAAAATGCATGATTTGTATACGTATATAAAAGGCTTTATTGCACAAAACTTCATTTATTTAGATAAATAAAATACAGAGTTGCATAAGATATTACACGATCATTTCCAGCTCTCGGGCATAGTCTATCGCGAGAGCTGCCAGTTCAGAACTCGGGATAGGCTCCTCAGATTTTTTCTCGCTAGTCGTGGTAAAATAAAAATAGCCATCTTTGGAAAGATTCCAGTTCTTCTTAATGGCGAATGCCTTTATATCCTTCTCCGTGCTTAAATTGAGCATCCTTGCAGCATCTTGAATAGAGATCTTATCGTATGCACTTTCCATGCACGCGCCGATCTCATCGCGAACAGTATTTAATAAAATGTCTATGAAGAAATTATAGGATGCGGCAGGCACGTTACCTTTGGCCAAGAAAATCTTATTGTACGAACCTTCCATTAAATACTGCTCTAAACTCAAGGGATGCCTTATATAAACGTTTGATTGTATCTGATCAGACGGTAAGAGTTCCAGCTCTGTATGAAATTCAGCAACTCGATTTTGAGATAACAAAAATAAGAGATTGAGACCAAGAAGCTGATATTTGTACGCTGATTCCATCAATCCAGATTTATAATCAAAATAGTAACATTTTAGTTGTGCCATATATCTTTCAAAGGAAGGTATATCTTCAGTGGCGATACTCCATTGTGCTCCAATTTCCAATATGTCTCCTGTAATTCAAACAATAAAATTTTTGTTATAATTTTGTGATATTTGATCTATTAACGCTATGATTGTTGAACTTAAAATTAACAATACATACTAGCGATTAATAATTCATTTTGACTGGCCGTGCTATTTGATGTCGGGAGGAACATTAGATGAGTGAGACCGATCTATGTAAAATAATTATCATTGAATTATTTATTATTTTACAATTATTATGAAAATGTTATTACTATCAAATACATATCTAAAAGCTGAAATATCAAAAGGAATGACCATTAAAATTTGAAAATAAAGTCTATGCAAATGATGACAATCCATTTCCACAAATGTGATGAGGTTATGATGATACTTTTTATCAGTAATTACCTTATTTGAAAAGTGAATAAAGTATGTAAATTACCTTCAATTGATTGAGTAATTCTCCACATTTCTTCAAATTACACGATGTTCTTGTCCATTCGCGTTTTAAATTCTGGTACAAGGCAACAACATCCTCGAGGGCTGCCATTTTTAATATCTCGTCTCGCCTTGCCATAAAATAGAGATATTTTAGATGCGATTCGAGATTCGAGACTCGAAATTTTTGACTTGAGTCGATTCATCGACTGTTTTGCGTAACGCGCACAATCAATCAAAGTTCTTCTCTTTCGTGAAATAGAAAGAAAGAAATCGTAGACGGCTTTTTAGAGTACGTTTACACTTTGACGGAAAAGTGGAAAACGGAAAAGCAGTAGTCAATCAGAACTCTAGCTGGTAGTCTACAATTTCAGCTTTTGTACTACTTACTACCAGCGCGAGTTCTGATTGGCCATTGCTTTTCCGCTTTCTGCTTTTCTGTCAAGATGTGAACGCGCCCTTATAGAGATCGTTTGCCCAGTTTGCCCGCCAATCCTGCCATGTGTGATTTGATCATATTTGAGTCTGTTTACTAATGTGGTAATGTGCAAAGTGAAGTTTTGTAATTTTATAAATTTTCAATTGATTCTTCAACAGTAATCTTTAACAGCGATTTTACAATATTAATCCTCATTACGTCTCGTTTAGTACTCGTGTTAGAAACATGGCAGTGCAACCTAACCAACAGTTTAACATGGGTATATATAAGATTTTATTTAATCATAATGTAATTTTTGTTTCAATATAATAATTTATTTTTTAGATCCTCCTACGCAGCAGAGCTTTGTCAGATTTTTTAAAAATCTTCCAGAAGTGAGTATTTAAATTATTGTTTACACTATATATGAATAGATAATCTTTAAAATCCTTTCTTTTTCATAATTATTATATATTAATTATTCTAATTGTAACAATTGCATATTCTTGTATTTTATTAATATATTTTAATAATTTAATTTAGAAAAAATGCTATAATTGATTTTATATTTTCTTTTACATTGTTCATAAATTGTTATAATATATTTGAAGGAAAAAATTAAAGCTATTATAATAATTAAAGTAAAATCATTTGTATTACTATATTGTTAATATGATAGATGAATCAAGAAGTATTACTAACTTTAATTTAAGGTTATTTATAAGATCTATTTTTTAGCTGAATTTTTTGTTTTTTCTTTTTTTCTCTAATCTGAAAAGAAAAAAAAGAAAGATGAACTGTATAGGAAGTTCAGCTAAAAAGGAGAAGCCTATTAATTTATCCATATATGTATAATTCATATAACATCTCTTGAAACAATATTGTAATAAGTGTTTTTTTTTAATATAATAAGTGTTAATTTCTCATAAAAATTTTTACAATTTTTTTCTTATATGTATATAACTATTCTTTCTTATAATATTTCTATCAAAGGAATGAATATATTTGACATTATATATGGATTTAAACATTTTTAAATCTTAATTTAATATATCATTCTATTAATTTATAATGAATTTAAAAAATAAAGTATTTTATATTTATGAAATAATTGAAATACTTTATGATAGAGAGAAAGAATGAGATGATTATTAGAATATTTAAATATATTTTAATTATATCTTGAAATATGGTTTATAAAGCAGCTGGTTTTTTAGGATTACTTAAATATTTTTATTAAAGAATATTTGTAATTTAGTTTGTTATCAATATCTTTTATTAAGAATGTAATTATGAACAAAGAATTAACAAAACGGAAGGATCATATTCAATTTTAGTAGATTTTATTTTTATTTGTATTTTTGTGTCATTGATGAAATGGTAATGTTTTATGAAAATAATTAATGTTATGTAAATAAGCACTTACATAAAATTGTAAGTGTAGTAATGATTTTTCTGTATAGAAATAGACATAATAACACTTCTATTAGAAAAGAAAATATATATTTATTCCTATAAAATACGAAAATCGTCTTAGTTTTACAATAATAATGTTTTATAATACTAATTCAGAATATTAATTAAAGTTATGAATTTATGATATGTGTTTATGAGTTTCATTCTTGATTCGCTTTGATTTTATTAGTAACTGCAAGTACATCATAAATAAATGTAACAATTCAACTTAGAATGCGAAAGAAATTTTTCCGTGCATAAATAAGTAATTCTTAAATAAGGATGTAATCTAGCCAAAGATCTCCTTAGCTTTTTCCTTGGCCTTGTCGTATGTACTAGTTATTTTATGACCAACTCTGCTCCAAAACGATGGCTGGATTGTCGTCTGCGTTATCTCTGTTGTTGTTTCTGCCACTTCTGTTGTAGTTATATATTCTTGTGTATTATGCACTGTAGATCGTGGTATTATTGCTTCTCTTGGTTTTTCTCTGATATCCCATGAATCATCACCATCAATGGGTGGTAAGGTAGCACTGGGATTCGGTCTAATTCTGATATAAAAATCATCACTACGCGATGCATATGGCCCTCCGCCATACGCTTGCAAGATTCGTGACTCTGGTTTATTTTCTGTTTGTTCAGTAGTCGACACCGACCGTTTCTCTTGTTCTAGAATCAACTGAGTCTTTTCGTTGCGTTGCAATGGAATAACTCTCGCGGTTTGTTCAGAATCTTGATTAAATTGATCGTCAAAGCGGAACGTTTCACTTTGTTGAGATTCTGATTGTTGATTATATTCATCATGTTCCGATGATTGAGAAATGTACGAATTTTGATGCTTATTTTCTAATCTGTCCTTGTCTTGTGTTTCTTGTTGATGAAAATCAATTGGTTTAAATTGTTGTTGTGTATCTTCTGTTTGCTGTGACATCGAGTTAACGTTATGACGGGGATAATAATTGTCATGTGAACCTTCAACGTTAGTTAAGTCACTTGGATGATAAGTATAATGCCACTGCAAACCTACTGTAGCATCATTTGAGTTATGCACCCAATGTAAACGATCTATATTTTCCCTTTGATTGTGAAATGCGTTGCTTCCTTGAGTCGAGTACAATATCGTCGATGTATGATGATTGGATTCAGGATATGTTGCGCGACTGCCAGATTCGATAATTCTTCCACGGAAGTTGTCTATATCAGGCTCCGGGTTTACCTCAACTGGTTTAAAAACGTCATCAATAATTGTATCTGTTCTATCTGTACGTGGCGGAATGGAATCGTGTTTTTGATATCGTGGTCTTGGTTTTGGTTTTGGTGCTGGTTTTACATTAGTTGTTATTTGATCTTGATCGGTTTGTTGAAGAAAATCTCGTTCGAAATTTGTTTGTTCTAATTGCCATTCGAGTTGTTTATTATTTTTGTTATAAGCTGAATATTGGCGCGATTGTTGCGAAAGATCGTCTGTATTCCAATCATTTTGTTGTGAATAATGTTTCAAGTGTTGTGTATTATGTCCCGGCCAACTAGGTCTCTGCTGTTGTTCTCTTTGTTGTCCATACAAATGTCCTGCTGTTTGTTGTGAGAAATCATCGAATCCTCCAGTCTGTTGAGTTAGGTCTTCATTCTGTTGAGCGAAATCTTCCAAATGATGGTTGCTGTCTTTTGGTTGTTGCAGTTGTCCAAATTCTAGGTGTCCTATTTGTTGCGTAAAATCATCAAATCCTCCCGTCTGTTGAGTGAAATCTTGATTTTGCTCATTGAATTCCTCCAAGCGTTGACTTTTTGGCTTGGCAGGTTTATTTATTGATTGCGTTTGTTGACCGAATTCCAGTTTACCAACAGATTGTTGTGTAAAATCATCCGATCTCAGTGTCTGTGCAAACTGTTCACTTTGTCGTAACGGATCTTCTAGGTGTTGATTATTAATTTGCTGTCCGAATTCATGTTTACCTAGTTGAATTTGTTGGGTTAAACTATCTGATCTTGCTGTTCGCTGTGTAAATTGCTCTAATTGTTGAGTGTCATTAGCTTGCTGTCCAAATATAATTTTACCACTCGTCTGTTGCGTGAAATCATCAGATCCTTGTGTAAACTGTTGATTCTGCTGCATTAAATCTTCCAAATGCTGATTATTGCTGATTTGTTGGCCATATTCAAGTTTACCACTCGTTTGTTGACTAAAACCGTCGGAGTCTTGTTGCGTTAAATCTTTTAAGTGTGGGTTATCGACAGTCTGCTGGCCAAACTCAAGTTGACCCTCCGTTTGCTGCGTGAATTGTTCACTTTGTTGTGTTAAATCATCCAAATGATGATTATCGACGGTTTGCTGGCCGAATTCAAGCTTACCACTCGTTTGCGTGAAATGATCAAGTCTTTGTGTCTGTTGTGTAAACTGTTCGTTCTGCTGTGTTAAATCTTTTAAATGCGGATTATCGACAGTTTGTTGGCCAAATTCAAGCTGTCCCTCCGTTTGCTGCGTAAGTTGTTCACTTTGCTGTGTTAAATGTTGACTATCAATGGTTTGTTGTCCGAGTTCAAGCTTACCACTCGTTTGTTGCGTGAGATGATCATGCCCTTGTATCTCTTGTGTAAATTGTTCGTTCTGCTGCGTTAAATTTTCTAAATGCGGATTATTGACAGTTTGCTGGCCAAATTCAAGTTGACCTTCCGTCTGTTGCGTGAACTGTTCGCTTTGCTGCTTCAAATTATCCAAACGCTGATTATCAACAGTTTGCTGGCCAAATTCAAGCTTGCCACTCGTTTGTTGCGTAAAATCATTGGATCTTTGTGTCTGCTGCGTGAATTGTTCACTCTGTTGCGTTAAATTTTCTAAATGCGGATTATTGACAGTTTGCTGGCCAAATTCAAGTTGACCTTCCGTCTGTTGTGTGAATTGTTCACTTTGCTGCTTTAAATCGTCCAAGTGCTGATTATCAACAGTTTGCTGGCCGAGTTCAAGCTTACCACTCGTTTGTTGCGTAAAATCATCGGATCCTTGTGTCTGCTGCGTGAATTGTTCACTCTGCTGCGTTAAGTCTTCTAAATGCGGATTATTGACAGTCTGCTGGCCAAATTCAAGTTGAGCTTCCGTCTGTTGTGTGAATTGTTCACTTTGCTGCTTTGAATCATCCAAGTGCTGATTATCAATAGTTTGCTGGCCGAGTTCAAGCTTACCACTCGTTTGTTGCGTAAAATCATCGGATCCTTGTGTCTGCTGTGTAAATTGTTCACTCTGCTGTGTCAAATCTTTTAATTGTTGCGACTCTTGACCGAACTCCTGATTTTGCTGCGTGAAATCCTCGTTTTCAACTGCTTGGTGCTCCTGAGCGTTGCCATGATAAGCGTCTCGCTTGTATTTCCTATGATATCTGGTTTCGTGTTGATATTGCTGATGAGTCTCCTCGGTACAATCGGCGCCATGCGCTGCGTGGCCCAAGTCCAGCGATCCGGCGACGAGTTGCGCCGAGTTTGCTCTATACCCAGAATCATAACTGCTTCCGCTAGTACGCGCACGAGACTCGTATCCCTGAGCGGTATGATAACGTCCATGATGCTCGTTGTATGCGTCCCGATCGTAATGCGCTCTTTCCGCGTGACCAACACTGTGTCTAGAATGATCCGCGATGGTCCGCTCTGGAGCTACGCTTCCCCCGTGACTGGAAGAGCTCCAGGCCATGTCTGCTAGGATAAGTAGGATGACTCGAATGCGGATTATACACGCGCTGGGAATTCTCCTGAGTGAGCAACTGATTTTGAAGCACGTTAGACTGATGTGTGCCCAAGACATCCGTATGACGGGTGTCGTCCAGGTGACGTCCACTCGAATGCGTATTGTGATAATTCGTTTGAAAACTGTCTCTGGGAACTTGCAGATAACCGAGAGATGAGTGACTCGATTGAGGCACGGGATGTACTCGGGACGCGTGGGTCTCGTGGCTCTGATAAGCTCTGTGGCTCTCCGTGTCATACGTATTTGTGGCCGCAGTAGGATACGAATATGGCTGCCTTATATCGGTGAGTGTTTCTCTTTGCTGCTGATCAGTATAATGATGCACACTTCCGGTGGATGGAACGCCCCGGTAGCCCAAATGTTGCCTATAATCATTCTCGGCGGTCTGCAAATCGTGGATACCGACTGCTTCCTGAGTCGAACCTACGTGCGTGGTGGAGGCAGTATGGCCGGTGCTAGAGACTTGAAAAGTCCTTCTAAAATTGTCGAGATCTTTCTGCAAGTTCCTTTGCATTTCGTTGTGTAATTCATCCAGTTTCACTGAGCTACCGCTGCTTTGAGGAACGCCCGAACTATAGCTGGATGTATAGTTTTTCTGATAATAGCGGACCTTTTTGGGTCCGGTTACGTATTGACCTTCCTCCTCGAAGACCTGTCCACGACCTCCATCAGTCCTGTAAGAATCTGCTCTGCTCCAATTATTGGGAACTGTTTCGACATTATGCTGCGTGTCGATCGCGTGAGTGTTAGTGCTGGGAATGTGTTGATTCACCTGCGAATATCCATCATATTCTCCAAAATCTTCCAGCTTCTCGCTCTTGCTATTGAGTCTTGTTGACAATGAATCTGTTTGTTGGCTGTGCACTCTATTATATCCAGTCTCCTTTATGACTGTCTGTCCTAGATCATATGCGCTTTGGGAATCGAGATGCTGATTACTTGGCACGTGTAAAGAATCATATCTGTGTTGTCCGCTCAATTCGCCTAATTCCGCTGCATTCACTCCATGTACGTTATCTGTGCCGTAGGACGAGGTAAAATTCTTTTTATAATACCGTACCCTTTTTGATCCTTCTACGTATTGTCCTCGTTCTTCGTGAACCTTGCCATGTCCACTGTCCGTGTTGTACTGATTATGTTCGGTCCAATTTCCTGGTCTGGTGTAATCATGATCATTTAGATGTGTCGTTCCTTGAACTAAATTCGCATGATCTTGATAACTACCCAACGTTTGCCGAACATTCGTTTGGAGGAAGTTGCAGGTTTCTATGCAGCCACTTGGCGCTGATAATGCTTGAGCAATTAACGCGGATAATACGATTATCCGTCCTATCGCCATTCTTCCCATCCGATCTCTATGAAATAAAAATAAATACTTAGATATTTAAAACAAATTATATAAATATATTTTAATAAAAATTATGTATTGTATTTTTCGCCTTAAATCCAAAACACAATATACGCTTCTAGATATCTGAACAAGAACAAATTTTTCAAATATTTTTTTTAATTCAATATTTTTTATATATTATATAATTACAAATATTTTTGCGAATTAACTTTTAAAAACATAAATAAATAATATAAGTGATATGAAACATTATTTATCTTTTAAATTATGAATAAATGAATTTTAAATTTATATAAAATCATAGAAAATATATTAAAAAAATAATGTATATGATTGATATCGAAAATTTTAATTTATTTAATTTTCTGATAAATATATGAAAAATATATGGGAACCTTGCGGAATGTATTTTATTAAATAGAATAAGATTTTGAGTATATAAATGATCTTATTGTTTGTGTTGAAGGAGAGGTAGAAAGTTTGTATGAAAGATGTTTTAAAACGAGAATTTTAAAACATTTTTATGATTTTATATTTTTATAGAAAATCTTCGTAGAAAATATTTTTTATTTAAAGTATTAACGCAAGTTTATTTTTTTATTTTGAGAATATCAGATTTGCTGTTCCGCGAAAGTTATGTGTGATGTAACTTATATAAACAAGTTCATCTCGAAGTCAGTCTTTGCGATAAACGATAAAGCGAAGATAACACATAAGTTAAATAAATCAAATTTTTTATAATAATATTGGCTGGGCTTTTTTATAAGTTAAATAAATCAAATTTTTTATAATAATATTGGCTGGTCTTTTTCAATTAGAACTTTTATTTTAATGTTGTAAAGAGAGAAAACAATTTTTGTTTATATCTTTTTAAAAATACAAATTCACGATTGTAATCAATTTTTTTAAATTTTCTAATAAATAAGTATATGAAAAATATATGTGGATCGATATTATGCGAAATATGTTTTAAAAAATAAAATAAAATATTTTAAGAATGATGCAAGTGATCTTATTGTTTACATTAAAGGAGAGGTAGAAAGTTTAAATACATGAAAACTCGGTAAACTTGATTCATATTAATATAGGCATAAAAATGAATTAAAATCCTTTTGCAAATTATTTATGCTTAAATAAAAACTTGCAAAGTTTTAACACAAGTTGTTGCAGCAATTGACTCATCGCGTGTAAACCTCACAAAGTTGTGGTTTTGCAAAAATTGCGGATGTTCTAGTTGACACATATTTAACTGAATCAACCGGTTATGTTTTGAAAGCTTTCGGAAGTAGAGTGCTTTTTATTGATATAAAGTATAAATAAATAATAGTATACAGTTATAATATTAAGTATCGAGTTTTCATGCATTTAAACTTTTTCATCCTTCTTGAATTAAAAGGTATTTTCATCATAACACAAGAAGTAGCAAGAAGAATACAAATCTGTATATTTTATTTAATAACTAATTGTCTTTTACTTTGTCGAATTTAATATCTGTAACATATTTTAAACTTCGCATTCACTGACAAGACTACGTTTATTTATACATTTAAATCACATTAGAAAAATAGTATTATATTTAATTTTACCTTATAATGGAAAATCGAACACTTATAACTCAATTGCAGAGATGTTTTCACTAACACTGTAGGCTTACATATAACAGAAGAAGATTACCGCAAATCCATTTATGTTCTTTCCCCCTTCTTCTTACCGATGATTCTCGGATCGTTCTTTTTCGCTTTTATACATTAGCGGTCTTTCCTTCTTATCCATTATAGTTTAGACTCATTCTTATCGCACACAATTCTCAGCAATATAAGATTGAGTTCCCCATCATTGACATAAGTGTTAGTAACAAATATTCTTATATTAATTTATTTTCGATGTATCGTTATAAATCCTTATTATAGAATTGAAGTTATGAATCTTATTAGTCTTATTCTTTAGATCTCTTTTAAGCTGAACAATTTCTTTTCAGAACGTATCTTTTATGATAGAAAATCCTTAATGTCCTTTCTTATTCCTTAATGTCAGAATTATAAATAGCAAATTATATATTAAATAAAGTGTCTTAAAATCACACATATGAATATACAACGAAAGTCTGGTTTAAGCTTTTTGAAGTTTACTAGTACTTAAATTAGAAAAACATTCTTTACGTAAGAATAAACGGCACAAGATTATACATTCCTATAAATTTTATTCATAATGATACATTAAAATTGATGATATAGAAAGATTCAGTGCATTCTGCATAAAATAATTTTTTTGTCTTAAAAAATAAGTCTTTATTATTGTTATTTAAAAGAATATTATTAGAATTGAAAATAATGGATAAAGGTAATTATCTCATTTATAATTGTAAATTGATCACGGTTAAATATAACATAACTTGAAAAATATGTTATTATAGTTCATTAATCTTCATTATCTCTTATTAATCTTATATCCTGTTTGATTAAAGTTGTACTACACATCTTGACAGATGAATGTATGATGCATTGTCTGCTCATATATGTATATATGTATGTGTATGGCAAAGGACATAACTCAACGACTTCCAGGTAGCCGCGAGTGGTTTTCCATATTTCCATATTTGATTTGATGTGTCATTGGTTAAGTCATTCTGAATTTGTAACGATGATGACTTATTTTCATTCAGTGATGCCAGGAGCAATTTCAAGGTCTCCGTTACGTAAAGGTCGCAGCACCTCGAATAATTATTTGTATTCCGTGCTTGCACTTCATCGGAATAAAACGGTGGTGGATTCTATAAATAAAGACATTCAGAAAACAGATTACAAAGAATAAAAAAACGGTGGCCCACTTTGTTACAGAAATTACTGACCTTCCTAGAATATGAACTCTGATCTTTTATCATGCTAAGAATGAATTGATATTTCCACGATGTGGACCACTTCATGACCTCAATATATGGATGTCATTGAAACTGTTGGGATTTCCCATCGATGAATTAACATCGAACACATCTAAATATATTCGTACATATTCTCGTTAAGATTTACGTTAAATAAAAGCTAGTTTATTTCTATGAAATTTTATTCAATGAATGTTGTATTTCTTATTCTTTTTTTTTTATCCCTCTTGTTTGGAGATCACATAACGATTTATTATATCGAGAATTTGTTTAAAAAAATATTTATAACAAGAACAGTTATTAAGATTTTTATATAAGAATATATATAAATTATTTAAAATTTATTTACTTTATCTTGATAATACATTTTATGCTATTTTTATATATTAAGAGTTTTCCACTTAGAACATTTTGTCTTATAATATTGTCAATAATCAATATTTCTAAGTAAAGTGAAACATTTATTTGTATTGTTTGTTGAGCTAATATATTTCTTTAAATTTCCAATTTCCATAAAATCACACGCATCAGAGTTGTGACGACCTGTGATACTCTGACCCCTCGATAGGCATTGACCTACAGATACGTTAGCAAGGTTTTTAATTTCTGAGAAATATAAAATATATGATGGTATTATTCACAAACAGTGTATAATTACGAATAATTGTAAAAAATGTCTAAGAAATTTCTAGTAAATGAAAACATGCGTATGACGTAATTAATAATAAAATAACAAAATAGCAGCAAATTACAAAGTAACAACAGGATGAAAGTTAAAACAAAATTATCATATTATGTTAAACATTAAATATCTTCCCAACAAAATTTTTTTGTTTACAATAAAACTTTTTTATTATAAATATCTTCAAGTATCTCTGAATTTATTATGTAATTATTATACTACATTTCTTAAAAATTACTTGAAGACATATTTTTGTATATAAAATTGAAGAATATGTAATTGTTACATATCAAAGGAAATGTAGATAATATTAATAATATTGAAATTATAATCGAGAGATATTGTTTAAAAAATTATATGCTTATCGCTCTCTGGAAGCCGGCAAAGTTATGCAAAGAGATCAAGGATAAATTTAAATGACAATTTATACGTAAAATTTAATATATAACTAGTGATGTATTATGTGCTCTTGATTCATTATATACATCGTTTTTAAAGCATTTCTTTAAATGTTGGAGATAATTTAATGAAAGCACAGTGTCCCAATAATATCAGCCTTCATGTTTCTGCATTTCGCAATAGAGATTATATATGTGTATTGCACAGTAGAAATTCATGGAAACTATTGACTTGATATCAATAAGTTGACGCATAATAATTTTGTATTTCAGAAACTTGATACCACAATACGGTTCTTCAATAGATCAGATTATTATACGGTACACGGAAGCGATGCTCTTTTTGCCGCACAGGAAGTATTTAAAACCACGTCCGTTTGTAAAATGATTGGAGCTGGTAAACATTATTTGAATAATTATAAAAAAAGTTGAATAATTTTTCAATACTTATACAAAAGGATAGTGATATTATAAGATTTTTTAAAAGAATATATTTAAAAAAAAATAGAAGTGATTATATCCAATGAAACAAAAATCATATTTCTAATTTAAAATATTATAATTTTAATGTACTCAGATCTCTATATTTTCTATTTCTATTCATGCATGTTTTAATATGTTCAGAAAGCAAAATTAATATTTTTTAACACTATTAATATGATAAATATATCGTATATGTTTGATTCTTTATAATATTTTTACTTAATTGAAAGAGAGTTATCTGAGTTTTAAACATAGTGCAATTTATAATATTAATCAATATTTTTTTTTTACAGAGCCGCATAAAATGGAAGGAGTCATTCTTAATAAAAGTCATTTCGAGACATTTGTGCGCGATTTACTATTAGTAAAGCAATACAGAGTTGAAGTTTATATTAATCTAGGCTCGTCTAAAAATCAGAACTGGATCTTGGAGTACAAAGGTTCTCCCGGCAATCTATCTCATTTCGAAGATATCTTGTTCGGCAATAATGACATTGCTGTGGGTGTGTCCGTAATAGCTGTGAAATTGGGTATAGAAGGAAAGTCCAGAGTGAGTTTATCCGCGAGCATGATAAAATATACATTCTAAAATGTTATAAAAGAGTTCTGCTATAATTTATAATTTATATATTTTATAGGTTGTCGGTTTAAGTTGTGTAGACGTCGTTTCAACTTTAATTTCAGTGATTGAATTTCAAGATAATGAATCATTTTCGAATCTGGAATCGCTCATTGTAACTCTCGCTCCCAAAGAATGTTTATTAATTCAGGGTGAGGGCAGTTTTGAGTTTCAAACTCTTAAGCAAGTACGTATAACATCAAAATATAAAGTAATAAATTTTTAAAATATAGATTATTATACATATTTTACTGAAATATTTTAGTATACTTAATATTATAATTTTGCATTTATTTTTCCAGCTAATGGAAAGAAGTAATGTGATGGTTACTTTGCGAAAGAAAAATGAATTTGTTAGTGACTCGATCATAGATGATTTAAACAAATTGATAAAATTTAAAAAAGGACAAAAACAGAATGCGCAATCGTTGCCTGAAGTCAACTTAAATTTAGCTATGTCTGCAACATCTGCTCTCATTAAATATTTAGATGTAAATATTTTCATAGTTTTATCTGCAATAATACGACATAGGATGTCGCATCTTTACTTTATAAAATCTTGATATGTTCATTAATTTGACAATTTCTTTTTTATAATGAAACCAAATAAATTTAACAAATCTAGTATTCAATTTGATAATTAAAAATCTTGCATATATATATATATGTAACAAAAACACTTATTCTCCATTATTTTATTCTCCATTATTTTGATACTAAAAATATAATAAATTAAAATAAATAATAAGCATTAAATCTATAGTTGAAAATTATTAAATTAAAATTTGTCATTTATCATTAGAAATTTGTGATAAAAAATGACATCCTATGCTTCTTAACACTATGTATAATATTTCTTTCTCAATAATTCTTTGTCAGTTAACATCAGACGAAGGACACATGAATCAGTTTAAGTTAAATCAAATCGAGCAATCACGATATATAAGATTGGATTCTGCGGCAATGAAAGCTCTTAACATCGAACCACATACTGATACAATTCCCACCTTACATGGAAATTCAGTTGCCAGTATTTTAACATTGTTAGATAAATGTAGAACTGCACAGGGGCATCGATTGATAGCACAATGGGTCCGACAGCCTCTTAAAGACTTATCTTTAATAAAGGAACGGCATGACATCGTTGAATTATTAGTGAAAAATAATGAATTAAGATCCACTCTTAGTGATGACTATTTAAAACGTATACCAGATTTGCAACAGCTCGCAAAGAAATTAGCTAGAAAGAAATTGACATTGCAAGATTGTTACAAGTAAGTTATCATTATTATAGAAAGTAGCCAATTATCACCATGATTAGAGTAAAATATATTGACATAGTACGCTTTTAAAGACTATATATATTGATGTGTTTATTATGTGATACTTTAGGATCTATCTGTGCATATCATATTTGCCAAAATTATTGGAACAGCTTTTATTAGAAAAAAATGTGACAACATTAAATACAATGATAATAGAGCCACTAAAGGAACTTATAGAAGATATGGATAAATTTCAACAATTGATAGAGCAGACGATCGATTTAGATGCTGCTGAGAAGGGTGATTTTATGGTCAATCCAGGATTTGCAGATGATTTAAAAAGTAACAATTTTAAGTTTTAACTTGTTATTAATGTTTTATTAAAGGCATATATAGAATGTTTAAAAGATATGCATTAAATTTCAAATATCTAGATTTGGATCTAGATTTTAAATCTTTCTCTTAAATCAAAAAGATATATGTCAAAAAAAAATATATAACTTTTGATAACATATGTGGATATTGTATTTTTTTTTAATTAATATTTATTATTTTACAAATCTAGTAAAATTTGACATGTAGACAATAATCGTATAATTAAATATATAAACAATTGTGTGATATTACAGCATTAAAAGACGCAATGGATGAATTAGAGGAAACTATACAAAAACAACTCAGTAAGGCAGCAAATGATCTTTGCATGGAGGCAGGAAAAATGATAAAGTTAGAATGTAATCAACAACTTGGCTATTATTTTCGTATCACATTAAAGGAAGAGAAAATACTTAGAAACAAAAAACATTACACTATTCTGGATTCTAATAAAGCTGGAGTAAGATTCCGAAACAATAAGTTAAACGAATTGAATGACGATTTTCTAGATGCCAGAAATAAATACTTGGAGAGACAGAAAGATGTTATCGTAGAAATTGTAGAAATTGCAGGTTTGTGTCAAATCTTGTTTAAATAAAAATTATTCCAATATTAAAATCTAATATTAACATATATAATACTCATAATTTGTATTACTTATATAGCTGGCTATAGCGAAACAGTACGTTCTATTGGTGGCGTGCTGGCATGTCTCGATGTTCTTACTGCATTTTCTTCTGCAGCAGTAAGCGCTAATAAAGTATATGTGCGTCCCAAGATGGTCCCAAGCGAAGAAGGTGAATTAAATCTCATTCAAGTCAGACATCCGTGTTTAGAAATGCAACAAGGAGTTGATTACATTGCTAATGATATTATTTTTAAGAGAGGTATGAATATAAAAATAGTGTAATTAGTATAATGTAACTAATAAGATAGTATAATCAAAATTCTGATAGTATAATCAATATTCTGAATTACATTTATTATGAAAAATTCTTTAAATTCTTATTAATTAACTTATTTTTTAGATCAATGTCATTTTTACATTATTACTGGCCCAAATATGGGAGGTAAAAGTACTTATATTAGATCAGTTGGTGTAACTGCATTAATGGCTCATATTGGTAGTTTCGTTCCTTGCGATGAAGCAACTATATCGTTACTGGATTGTATATTGGCTCGAGTAGGAGCTGATGATTCTCAACTAAAAGGATTGTCGACTTTTATGATGGAAATGATAGAAACAGCTGCCATTTTAAAAGTAATTTATTTTATTTATCATTGTCCATTAAGAAATATAATAAAAATACAATTAAAAATATAATTTTTAATATTAAATTTCACTTATAGACAGCAACATGTAATTCTCTTGTAATTATCGATGAATTGGGCAGAGGTACATCTACTTACGAGGGTTGTGGTATAGCGTGGTCAATAGCAGAGTAAGTAATAACGGTTCAGTCTCGCATTAAGTTATCACTATGTACTCATAGTACCGAGATACTGTTTCTTGATGGTAATTTATATTATATAAGAAGAATGTTGATATTTTGTAATTTTTCATATTTTCATTTTTGTATTCTTTCAGGCATTTGGCAAGGAATATTAAATCATATTGTCTATTTGCAACACACTTCCATGAAATCACCAAGTTGGCCGAAGAAATACCCGCTGTAAAAAATCAACACGTTACCGCTCTTGTCGAAGACGATAAATTGACGTTACTTTATAAAGTAATGCCAGGGATTTGTGATCAAAGTTTTGGTCTTCATGTCGCTAAAATGGCTAATTTTCCATCAGATGTAATAGAGGTATGCATTTTATTCAAACAAGAAAAATTAAATATTAAATATTATAAGATTTTCTGTTTTATATATTGAGTTACTTTTTGTAGTTTGCCAAAAGAAAACAAGCCGAACTTGAAGATTATCAAGGCGTAACTTTTGAAGGATCTGATAATCCCCAAAAGAAGCAGAAAGTTATTCAGGTATTCTTTTTTTGTTATTACTTTATTGCTATTAATATCAATAATAATAAAATGAGATAATTTATGCAATTATTAATATAATTTGTTCCACTAATAATTTATTATATATACACACACATATATATATATATATATATATATATATAGAAACGATATTTATAAATAGAACAAGATTTTTGTCAATATTTTTATGTTTAAAATAATTTTACGCGAAACAAAGAAATTCTTATTTTTTATTATGATATATTTTCTATTTATATTTATGTCATAAAAAGCAGTTAATGACAATACATTTCTATAAAACTTCCAGATGAGTTAGTAGAGAGAATGTGATTACTTTTCCTACTGTATATACGAAATGATTAAATTTTTAATATTGTTGCAGGAGGGTGAAGTTCTTATTTCGCAATTTCTTACGAAGTGTAAAGCTTTGGACTCGTCTTTATCTGATGCCGATCTAGAAAGTCAAGTATTATCACTGAAAGAAGACATTCTATCCCATAAAAATCCTTATGTTGATGCTTTACTTGCCGCTTATTAAATCTAAAATTATATATTATGAATGCAAAAAAGGATTAAAAAGCAAGCAGTATTATTTTTACAAATATTTTACAAGTTAACTTAATCAAATGAAGAAAAAAAAGATGTAAATATTTTTCATTAAACCAATTTCATATAAATGCGTTTATTCAATTTTTATTTTTGTCACTCCTGTTATTTATTAATGATTACTAATTATTAAATTACTTAGATTTGAATAATTAGTGATTTGTTCACATTTTGCACAATTTTATGGCTACTTTAGAACTAAATTTAAAAAATATTAAAAAATCAGTTTAGTAAAAAATCATTTTATGCTAAGTTTTAGAAAAGAATGCATTTTATGCTAACCATTAAAAAAATTTAATAGTAATAAAAAGTATTTATAGTGAAATTTAGTGCTGATTATGTGCTTTTAATGTACACTAGTTTAAGTTTTGCTGCGCTACTCTTTACGCCAAAAATAACTTCAAATGACCAGCCACTTTGTCCATTTCTGAAAATTACTTTTTTTTGCAGTTTTTTTCGAATGGTTTAAATTTAAAATTCGGTGATCGCGTTGAATTTCCACGATGATACCATTCGTGGGTAACATATTGATTCGTGTTATTCGCCGTCGTAACCTTGAACTTGACTAGCGTATTAGCTAGTTCTGGGGAGTGTCTGGAGAAGGCCTGTCAAGTGACTGTTGATCGTACACTTTTCTATCGTTTTTATCAATAACAATTATGGATCCCGCGGTCTTCCCGGAGGAAATTTGGATTAAGATTTTATTATATTGCGACGTACCTGACATTATCGCGTTCGGCAGCACCTGCAAATATCTGAGGAAAACATCAGACACGGATTACCTTTGGTAAGTGCGTTAGGTTAGATTTATGTCAAACTGGTGTCAAATGTTGAGCCTGTCGCGAAGTGATGTACGTGTGAAATTTTATATACGAAGTTTTGCGTGCGCAAATTGATGGATAATGATCCTGCTCACTTTTCCGTGGAATTTGCTATTTGATTTTTTCGCGACTAGAGCGACCCAGCCTTCTCTTTCCTGTGAGGAAATTGAGTGGTAGACATGCAATAAGAACGTATAATCATTGCTTGCGAAACTTTGAACAGAAAGTTTCTCTCTAGTTCGAAGATAATGTGTTGTGTTATTTTAGGAAGATGAAATGGTTGCAGCTGATCTCAAAGGTGCACTTTAGATTCCCAGACATAAAATGTTTGCAATTGCTCAGCGTCAGCTTCAAAGCCATGTGCTACAGATTGCACATGGTGATAACGTTAGGGGAGAATGTACCTTTCCCAAAGTGTTATCACTGCAGTGGTTACACATGTCAGAGAAATTGCGTCGAGGGCTCCAGTGCCAAGGTGGTAATTGAGATCGGTAATAAGTACACCTGGGTCATCACCCCATACTTCGGGCTGAGAAGACACTTCTCCATGTTCGGTATTCCTAAGTACAACAATAAAACTCACGTGGAACAGATGCAGACTCAGAACGTTCCGAGCAGCAGTACCCGCTCCAAGTCTGACACAAAATCATTAGCGAAGAGATTGAAACTGTTGAAGCTGCCAGAATTGGCAACTACTAAGATACCACGGCCAAGTGGGCCGTTCTGCGTTTTCTGCAATCCCGTGAAATTGTACAGGGAGAAACGAAGATTAACCACACATCAGAATGATCCGATGTGTTATACCAGGCCAAATCCAATATATCAGAAGCTTATAAATGGTTATTGTACCGACACAGTGGAAGTGCTCGGTATTCCAAATGTGGATGTTGTGAGCCCGGCAGAGGCCTTGCTGTGTGAAGGCACGTTCCCAGTTCTCAAAACTTTTATTGATCACTTGTTCCACCAGATGAGCTTGACTGCGACACTTAGAAAGCCAAACACAGTACTCATGTTTTGCGAACCATTAGCAATGCATCCCACATTGAGAAAGCAGTTATTACATTATTTATTCCAGGAAGTTAAAGTCGCAAGGTATACAGTAATAATTTATAATATATACATGTACACACATATAGTATTTACATTAAACATATATTATATTATTTTAATAAATGTATTTTGTATATTACATTCATAATTATTATAAATTTTAATTAATTTAATTGTTATAATTTACCAACACTCTAGAATTACAGTAGAATGTCAATAGTTATAGAAATCTACAGTTGAAATTATTGCAGAGTATGTTTAGTACCGAAGCCTCTAGCAGCGTGTGCCATGTTGGATGTAGAAACCTGTGTAGTAGTCGATAGCGGTGCTTTGAGTACAACAGTGGCTGTTGTAATTGGAGGACGGGTTATGCCACAGCGATGGAGACTATTGCCTGTGGGTGGATGGCATGTTGCTTATCACTTGAAACAGGCTATGTATTGGCAACCGAAAGAATATCATCAAATTCCTATATCCTACCTAGACATTTTGGCTGTTAAAGAAAGATGTAGGCTGAGTTATAATATTAAGAACGAAGAGAAACGTCTGGGACAGAAGGCAAGGGAGCACATTAATCTTCGAGTTGATAGCTATGCGGACTATAAGCAATTTTGGGTATATATATATACTATATAGCTGGAAAAATAAATTTACGTACTTAGATTTATAGAGATATTGTACAAAAATATTATTGTTTTTTAGAGAGTCTCATTAGGGCCAGAATTATACATAGCCCCTGAAATGATGTATATCAGTCTACGTTTGCCCGAAGTTATAAAGGATGTAACATCAGGATTACCGGAAGATATAATGCATGATTGTCTTTCACATATTTTACTTACTGGTGGAAATACAGATCTTTCGGGTTTCGAACTGAGACTTACCAAAGATTTATGTGAGCTATTGCCGGAGTATAGCAAGATTTTAGAAGTGAAAAGTTGTCCTGGTACACACAGTTGGAATGTCGCAATGGGATCTACATATGTGCCTTTAGCTGTGCATCCTGGTAAGCATCGATAATTTTTGTATACACATATATTTATGTACTAATATATGATTAAATATGGAACAATGAATCATGCAATAAGTAAAACAGCATAACAATATGAAAATAAAAAATTTATAATTTAAATACATTAAAAGATGCGTAAGTATAATAAAATAGAAAATAACATTTGAAAATATTATAAATTATATAGTAAATTACAGTGTTAAGAAATCTTAAGATTTAAATTTGTTTTAGATAAAACTCCACCGGAATATATTGAAGGTAATCCATTTTGGCTGTCACGAGAAGAATACGTACTATTTGGATGTGAATCTTTGGAACACAGTAATGAAGATATAATAAGTGAGGCCTTATAATATGAATGCTTCACTTATTATATAACCAGTATGATGTACGGATGTAATGCATGATAACAGGAAAGTAAATGTTACCATCATTAAGTATATTTTCTCTTATATTGTCTATAAATTGGAAAAGTAATTTAGATAATTGAAGGGGCCTGAAATACATTCCAAAATATAATTATCATGTTCACGCTACACTTAAGGCACCTAAATGTTTTTCTCAAATTTTGCTATTTAAAATTTATTTATTAGTATAGTATGTTTAGATATATACCAGATGTTCTATTTTGACGTGCACAGTATAATACCCAAAATGAGAGAAGATGTGACAATTACTATTTTTTGTTAATTTTGTGTTTAATCTGAGTTCTCTTTTTAATGGTTTAAGAGTAAGTAGAGGCTTTATATTTATTAACTTAAAACAAAAATATATATACATATATATTCTCTCTCTCCTGATAGTACTATAAAACGCATAAAATAAATCGAATTCATAATAATGACTTTTTCGTTATGTCTTATATAAGGAATGTTTTATTTTATAAATTAAAAGGGACATCTTGTATATATGCTCTAAAACTGCCCCTATATTAACTTTAAAATTTATGGCATTTAAATTTCCATATACTAAAAAGGATTCATTATCTATTAGTATTTTAGAATATCATGGAGCTTTGTATAAAGCTAATTAATATGCCAGTTGCAATGTACTTTAGTACATTCGTTATTAATTCTATCAGGAGTATCATCCAGCACCTGATACCGTTCAGTGCAATGTTATATGTTGATGGCATAAATGTTTTAAAAGTTGCAATATAAGATTTTAGTGCCATCTGAGCATATTTAAATTATAAAGCTATTTACTTTTATGTACATAGCATATGCAATGAATTGTTTTGTAAATATATAGGATAAACGAAGCTGCTTAAATTGAAATTGTACAGATCATTATGTAAACGTCAAGCAAGTATTATAATGCTAGAAATAGTATTTCCAGAAATTGTTCACTATTTCGTACATTTATATCACAGAGAAATCTTGCCAAAAGAAATATGTGTATGTTAAAAAAGAGAAAATATAGCAACATTTCTAGTCACTTTAGATATTGATAGCTTTTAAATATAGGTTCAGTGAAGCGAGAGATTTCTCTTCCAAGATGAAGTAAATAATCGCACTAGCAACCTATAATAAATAATAAAAAGAACAATGAATCTTTAGATTATATGTTTATGAAATGTATGGATACTGTTATATTTTTTTGTTAATGATATAGAGTATAATTTTATGAATAAGTTAAGATATAATTATTGGTATGGTTACTCTAAGATATTTCATTAAGAGACTGTAATGAATTTGATAGCTGTAATTAGAGCACATATTGAGATGAGTTAAATTATTATTTAGATCAAAATATGTAATGTGTAGCTAGTATAAAGCAACTAATTAAAAAATAGTATTATAAATGTACTATGTTATAACTGATGTTTGTATTAAAAAAATATCTATCTAAATTATTATTGTGTTTAGCTATTAGAACTCTATCAGAGAAGACTTACTTATAGGTGTTCACATGGCTTCAATTCTGTAAAATGCTAAAATGTAAGTATAAAATATTAAATATGTTACACATAACAGAGGAGAGAGAGAGAGAGAGAGAGAGAGAGAGAAAGAGAGAGAGAGAAAGAGGGAGTAGTTTATAATATATAATATACATACACGCTGCAATATCCCGTTTTCACTTCACTCCAAACATGAGAAGTTTTGCATCTTTAATATATTTCGAATTCCTAATGATATATATATATGTATAATGCAATACAATCTTTAAAGTTCAATAAGAGAAAAAAATATATATTTACTTGACTCATGTAAAATATATTTCTTTGCATATAGTACCTTAATGTTGGTCATTTTGCTCTTAAAGATTTTTTTATAGTGTGATAGAGAGAGACAATGAGATCGTTTAAATATTAAGTCGCCCATGCATTCAATGATAACATGAGTCTAAAATATAAAAAGATACTGTCACTTACCATATGGCAATTCACCTTTGCAACGAACGGGCAATTTTAGCGTTTATCGTACTTGAAAAAAAAATGCAGCACTGCAAAAACTTTCCATTAGTTGCTTGTGGTTCTGTTATATTTATAAGAAATGTACAACATGTAAATAAATCTTTTTCAGATATTCTTGCGTTATATGTTTAATTACATAATAATTCAAGAAAAGTAAATTTAAAATATAAGTTTTTAGTAATAAAAAAAGTAATATATAAAGAAAGGAAAAAAATTTTAATTTTCGTTTTTTTAGAAAGTTTAGTAAATTTCTATTAATATTGTTATATATAAAATACAGACATGATTTTTCTTAAAAGAATTTACATAATTGTTATTCTCTTTATATTTAGAGAGATAATTGCTCTCTAGTATATAAAAAAGAAATAAATTTTAGTATTTTTATGCGATTATATTAACGATTTTATTAAAAATGTCGCAAGCTTTTTCGTCATTTTATTGTACTTATAAAACCATCTATAAATTTTTGTTCATTTACCACAGCTGATGAGTATAAAACGTAATAAAGAAAGATGTGTAATTTCATTTCTTACTACTTACAGATTATGAAAATTTACCTAAAATATTATACATTGTGTATATATTAACATTAAATCTAATGATATAATTTCTATGTATGTATAACATTTTTGAATTAAATATAAATTATACATTTACTGATTTTTGTACAGATTGTACTGTGAAAGTTTGAAAATTATTTCATATTTATGACCTTAGAGTATAAAATATTCCAGATAAAATAAAATATATTCAAAATAGCATATTATTTATAAAAAATCTCATCTCGCGCATGTGTTCTAAAAAATCTAAAATATATAATTTATATTATATACACATACACACATGTGTATATTGTATGTTCTATACTTTGGTTATATTTAAATTGTTTATACAATACATGAAGAGCAAGTGAAATTTTACAATACTATACTAACATTAACAAAGCAACATAAGTTATTACGTATATTACAAGTGTAATCAATATTTCCACAAGCCCTGATAATAATAGTTCATCAAACTGTGAAGAAGTGGTAGAAAATGTGTTTCTTATTATTTTGTACATGTTTTATCTTCTAATAGTTGTATCTTCTAACCAATTACATAACAAGTTGTAACCAATCACATAAAAGATAATGCTTTGTAGTATAAATAAATTTTATACTTGTCATGTAGAAATAAATTTTTATTATCTCACAGAAAAAATAAATTGAACAGAGCTGCACAGCCGTCATTTTTTATTGAACAATATTATTGAGATTAGTTGGACGAAATAAATCGTGATTGTGAATGTGTCTTATGGATTTAAAATGTTTCATATAGTGTTGCATATATCTTGGTTTTGGATATTCAAACAATCCTAATTTTTTTTAATGCTTATATATATATATATGTTGCGATATTATATTATTAATATATCAGATGACTAACAAAGTTCATAGTATTTACAGAGTAGGCATAGTTGACGAAAATTCTATAAATGTTGAAATTCAATGTGCCCATAAAGTAATATTAGATAATAATTGTTTTGGCAAATTGGAAATTGTGATGTTTATAATTCACGAATGCTTCTGTGTATGTCACTAACAAAACATAGATTTGCTTATATAGGTATAATTTATTAGTTCATTACTTTAGACTTTGCTAAAATTTATTATGCAATATGCATGATCTTAAATTTGACGATGTTTCATATTCTTGCAGTAACGTATATTTTTTTAGACCAAGTACTTTCAAATTAGAGGAGAAAAAAAAACTACTCCAATTATTATTACTTTAAAATACTTAACTAGGATATAAACTTGGCACAATATTTGCAAACAAGGGGCAAGATACATGCATATTCAGAGATGAAATGCAACTTTTTTTCTCAATTCATAGTCTGTAGAGAATCAATGTTTTTTTTAAGATAGTTATATTTTAAGAAAATAAATCTGTTAATTCTCTCTCTATAAACATATAATTACCACTCTACGAAATTATATGAATTTTATTAGTCTTCTGACAAGCTATATACAAAAATCTAGTCCAGATGCAATCATAATTTTCAATAAATTGTTAGTCTTTTCCATAAAAGAATGCAGTAGGAAGTTATTTGTCATACAAATAAAAAAAGATTGCGTATACAATGTACAACAATCTATATTAAAGTAATAAATAACTTTATAGCCCAAATAACATGTAATACATAAGCGAGTACAATTATATATTACAATATGCGCATTAATTATATATTAATAATATATTCTACCGAAATAACTATTCCATCTGCATTCTTAAATTTTTTTGACAATCTAAAACTAAATCAAAATAGTGACCTAACAACACGAGCTCTTCGCGGGCTCCGCCTCGACTAGATTAAAATCTAACCCACCAGGCCTAGCAAATCCAGTTTTAATGCCATCCCAACCATCCTCTACCTTGTATTCGCCGGTTTGTATCCTATTGTAAACTTCTTGCGTAACCGTTCGAAAAGCTTCTTCAACATTTACACCAGTTTTAGCACTGGTCTCAATATGATGCACACCGTGTTCGTCGGCAAACGCTCTGGCTTCTTCCTTGGATACTTCTCGTCTACCACCATTAGTTACTAAATCCAATTTACAGCCTACTAGAGCAAAAACTGGACGATGAGGCTCAATATGTCTGCGAGCCTCCATCATCCATTGGGGAATATGTTCAAAACTTGCTCTATTACAAACGTCATACACAAGGAGCGCTCCTACAGAGTTTCTGTAGTAAGATTTTGTAATTGACCTATAAATAAAAAAGAAAAAACTATAATAGAGCTTATCTCTTAAGAATCAGCAAAGGAAAAATTAATAATACAAGAGCACTCAGCAAATAATTAAAAATTTTTGTAAAAAATACATTTTTAAATATGTGTGCCGATATAGATACCTAAATCTCTCTTGGCCAGCTGTATCCCATAATTGTAACTTTATCCTTGTACCATCTTTGACTTCTATTAAGCGTGCAAAAAAATCCACACCGACGGTTGGATCCGAAAGCTGAAATAGTATAAAT